GTGACACAATGACGAAATAAACTATTCCGATGTGTCCCAGCCCCGCCAGCTAGGGAGAGAAGTCCAGGTTCAGAGAAGGGAAATGTATTCCACAAGCAGCCAGAAGCACAAACGAACCACAAGTACAACTCAAGCGTATATTTACAACATAAAAATGTCATTGGGAAACGTTACAAAGTAGCCTATTAAAAGCAACAACTAACCAATAACACTTAAGGTCCTCCAAAATGGGAAATACGACACGAAGATGAATTATTAACATTGGCTTGTTCTAGTAGCCGTGGTTTTCTAAGTTTTAACTCCATACAATATGATTCTCTTAACGTTTGTGTTGAAGGTTCTGACTTTGGTGTTGGCTGAGGGTTACTCTGAGTTCCAGATGTTCTTCAACTTTGGGAATGTTGCCTTTGCTTTGCCAATCCATGTTTTCACCTCTGCACCAGGACCCGTCGTTTGTCAGTGGTGTTGCTCAACCACGTAAAGGCTTCCATCTTTTTCAGAGCTTAGGAACCAAGTGCGCACAGGTCGGTATTCACTGTGATTTTACTTCAGTATCTTGTCTCTCCTGACTAATGTTGAGGCCTACCCCTGCAAAGCAGCTGCTATACTGGTCGTCTTCGCCTGTATTTGTTGTTGTGTGTGTGATAACATGAATAGGTCATCTGGAAAGTACAAATCGTCCAGCTGTATCCAAGCTGACGATCGTACTCCATGATTCTCCTATGATGTGAGAATCTTCATAATCCAGTCAACAGTGGAAGTAGAATAAGCAGCCTTGTCTGACATCAGCCTTCATGTGAAATGAACGGTTGAGCTGCGATGCAGTCCCTTATAGGAATTCCATATGATGGTGATTTCAGGTACTCTGTAGTGTCAAAGAAGGTTCCAAAAAGTTCTCCCATGCATGATGTCAAATGCTTTCTTGTAATCAGGGAAGTTCATTTATGATAATGAGTTCCATTTAGCCGATTGTTCAACAATGATCCTTAGTGTCGCGATGTATTTGGCACACGATCGGTCCTTATAGAATCCAGCCTGTTGATCTCGGAGCTGGGCTTCTACTGAATCCTTCATTCGGTTTGACAACACCGTTAATAACTTTTCCTGGTATTAGTAATAGTGTGATGTTTATGCAGTTCTCACAGTTACTAAGATTTTTCTTCGTTACCTTAATGAGGTGTTCTTCTTTCTCTTCTGTTGGTACTTATCCTTCCTCACAACTCTTTCTGGAGAGGATGTGAAATGTCTCTGCAGTTACCTCTACATCTGACTTCAGTGCTTCGTCTGGTTCGACATATGGTCCTACTATCTTGCCATTCTTGATTTGTCTGATTATCTTGTTTGTCTATATTGCTGGTGGGGTGACGTTTATAAAGAGATTTGTGTGCGTTGTTTGGATTTTCAGTGGGATCAGTGAGGCTGGTCTACTCACGAGCTCTTCATAATTCTCTCGCTTCTCTTGATTTTCTTTGTTACTGGTTATTTCTAACTACATGCTTTGGTCTGCTATATTTCCCTGCTATCTTCTTCATTGTATCACATAGTTGTTTCACATTTCCTTCTGTTGTAGCTTTTTCCGCTGTCATTGCTAGGTCTTCCACATATTTCCGCTTGTCAGCTCTAATGCTCTTCACTCCTTTGTTTGCCGCTGTATATTGAACCTGTCTGTTTCCATCCCCTGCTTTTATTCGGCTATTGTTGATTACTGTCTTTTTATTCTCGCCTTCTTGAATCTTGGTCAGGGCATCAATAAAAATCCGTTATTTATGGTGGTGCTTCTTGAGGTTCAACACTTCGTATGTTGAGGCTATTGCGTCTTCAACCCTTTTCCATTTTTCAATAGCGGTTTCCTCTCTTGGATAGATCTCGCAAGACTTGTTGCTGAAAAGTATTTTGGACTCGCCGGACTTGCTAAGATCTTGAAGGACGTCTGTACCCAATGCTTCTTTAGTCTCAGCTTAAGTTTATCCACCATAAGTTGATGATCCGAAGCTACATCAGTTGCTTTGTTCTGACGTGTTCAAGAGACTTCCTAAATCTTTTACCTATGCAAACTTTATCGATCTGGTTCTTTGTGGTGTGGTCCAGCGAAACTTGCAACTTTGTGGGTGTGTTTGGAATAATGCAACCTATGATCATGCTGTTAAAAACATAGATATATAATCTCACCATTCTAATTTCTTTCTCCCAGTCCATGTTGCCTCATTATACGACCGTACCCGCTGTTATCTATCCTTACCTTGGTATGTAGATCCCTCATCAGGATGATCAGGTGTTTTCCTGGACATTTCACAGTTACTAAGATTTTTCTTCGTTACCTTAATGAGGTGTTCTTCTTTCTCTTCTGTTGGTACTTATCCTTCCTCACAACTCTTTCTGGAGAGGATGTGAAATGTCTCTGCAGTTACCTCTACATCTGACTTCAGTGCTTCGTCTGGTTCGACATATGGTCCTACTATCTTGCCATTCTTGATTTGTCTGATTATCTTGTTTGTCTATATTGCTGGTGGGGTGACGTTTATAAAGAGATTTGTGTGCGTTGTTTGGATTTTCAGTGGGATCAGTGAGGCTGGTCTACTCACGAGCTCTTCATAATTCTCTCGCTTCTCTTGATTTTCTTTGTTACTGGTTATTTCTAACTACATGCTTTGGTCTGCTATATTTCCCTGCTATCTTCTTCATTGTATCACATAGTTGTTTCACATTTCCTTCTGTTGTAGCTTTTTCCGCTGTCATTGCTAGGTCTTCCACATATTTCCGCTTGTCAGCTCTAATGCTCTTCACTCCTTTGTTTGCCGCTGTATATTGAACCTGTCTGTTTCCATCCCCTGCTTTTATTCGGCTATTGTTGATTACTGTCTTTTTATTCTCGCCTTCTTGAATCTTGGTCAGGGCATCAATAAAAATCCGTTATTTATGGTGGTGCTTCTTGAGGTTCAACACTTCGTATGTTGAGGCTATTGCGTCTTCAACCCTTTTCCATTTTTCAATAGCGGTTTCCTCTCTTGGATAGATCTCGCAAGACTTGTTGCTGAAAAGTATTTTGGACTCGCCGGACTTGCTAAGATCTTGAAGGACGTCTGTACCCAATGCTTCTTTAGTCTCAGCTTAAGTTTATCCACCATAAGTTGATGATCCGAAGCTACATCAGTTGCTTTGTTCTGACGTGTTCAAGAGACTTCCTAAATCTTTTACCTATGCAAACTTTATCGATCTGGTTCTTTGTGGTGTGGTCCAGCGAAACTTGCAACTTTGTGGGTGTGTTTGGAATAATGCAACCTATGATCATGCTGTTAAAAACATAGATATATAATCTCACCATTCTAATTTCTTTCTCCCAGTCCATGTTGCCTCATTATACGACCGTACCCGCTGTTATCTATCCTTACCTTGGTATGTAGATCCCTCATCAGGATGATCAGGTGTTTTCCTGGACATTTCTATGAGATGAACTTCAGTTTGTCACAAAACTGTTTTACATCGTCCTGACTGCCGTGACGGTGGTGTGGTGGTTATTATGTCTATCTTCCAAAAAGCAATAGTATTTAGGAGACCCTTGACTACAACCTGTGTTACAACAGCCCAAAAAGGTCAAGTAAATCAAGGTCCATATACGAAGATGTTTGATCATATCCCCAACTTGTTTTAAGTTCGGAAATATTAGTATACACAGCAAAACTTTACACTAGTTATGTTCGTGAGATTTGATGATTGTTTTTGACTTAGCTAGTTTAGAGATCTTGTTACATCTCTTATTGACTGATTGGTTGAGAAAGTATTCTTATTGTTAGTAATTGTGCTTTGATATGTATAATAGTCTTTCCGAAAAGTTTTTTACTGTAGTAAATGTTACACGTTTATGTGGATAATGGCTACTCATGCATTTACATATGATAATCAGCGTAAGATTGCCACTTCACATTGTGTGATATATAGGATCTACTTAACAGACGTTGGTTGACGAAAATCACAGTGTTTGTGTGCTGTTCACCTTTACTCTTATTTAAAAATCTTTTAATAGTACAGTTCACGGCTACACTCTATAGCTAACGGACGATCGGTTTTCTTACTGATTACATCAATAGTAGAGTTCTCCATATGTGTAAGTATCTGTTCTAAAATGTTGATAGCAACCTACCTTTTGAGTCGCGACAATAATATACCTATCAATTGATTCTGAATGATCTTTTTCATTTTTAAACTGATGGAATTCCTATAAATATAGGAAATTTCCAGTTAGATTGAATCACAGTACTATTTAAGCCTTTATATGGCGAAATTTGAGTAGGGAACTTACGAAACTCCATAAGCGTCATTGAAAAGTACATCTGGAAGTGTTAATTGTTACTCTGCTCTCCTCTAATGCACATTTATTTATACAATCATTACATTCTTCAAGTGTTTAAAACGGTCAGTTGCGAAATATTTAATAAGTAGTAATTTAAGTTTGCAGCTTAAAATGGCAGTTGTGACACCGTTTTAACTAGCTAATCTATCTACCTAGTTCTGGAGTAATGACAAATTTATTAAAAATCAGCTACATCCTTAGGGGTACTTATGAAAACCATAGTATTATGAAGCTGACGAACATTATACTACTACCCAAATATTTTCTTTGTCACGTAGTGTGACACATGGAAATGTGTTTCAGTCAAGAAATTTGTTTACATCATAAGGAGTTTTTGCTGAGTTCTGTAAATATTCAACAACATACAAATTATTCACGTTTACGAAAAACGGTGTAAATGGATCATCATAGAGTTTATCATTTATCTTGTAATTATTTTGGTGATAATGACCTGTTACAACAGGTTCTATTGACACCGAATAAATCCCCACATTTCTGAAAACGACTACGTTCGATAATTGGTTGGTATTACTGAACTGTACATAGGTGTAATAAATCAATTGATTCCCCACATAGTCTAAGCCTGTTATTATTAGTTTGTTTACAGAACTTGATTTATACTGACTGATCGTTTTACTTTATACTGTTTTAGAATTTGATTATCAAAATAATCGTCGTTCTATACATGGCATGCATTCCATAAATAAGGACCAAGAGCAATATAATCGTGACTTGATGACTCAGTATGAAATAAATCGGGCCTTGTTTCTGGCTAATCCACCTCCATCCGTTTTAGCTAGTCGTAATCGTGGTCGCGGTAATAATAGTAATAAAGTAAATGATAGCCGTCGAATAGATATACAAAAACATTCTTTAAATCAACCTGTACTAAATGGATCACGTATGGATCGTTCAACAGTTTTTCGGTCGACATTAGATCAGCAGCGTAGTGTTTTTCCCTTGAAATCAATCAAAGAGCGTGGATTTTACAATCTAGATTCTGGTATGTTTTTTTTTATATTTCGTAAGTGAATAACATTATAAATGTTCTTGTGACAATTCTTTCTCTGAATTAATGTATATGTAGACTTTATTTGTTTAAACTGGTATATTTGGATAAGTTAAATACGTGACAAGCGTTAAAAAATTAAATAATTTCAACAAAATCAGTTAAAAATAAACTTCGACGTCACACTTGTGTCTAGTGTAGGGTAATAATTGCTTTGGCGACTCAGCTTGAGATGCCAATCATTTTAGTTGCGATAAGGGTTGACAGCGTTTTTTATCCAAGACCATCTTATCTCTAAATTCACTCTATTCTATAAATGGTCTCTCAGGGGCTCACCTTATGGTCTGTATGTGCTCGTAATACAAAAAAAGTTTTGAAAATAACCCATTTGACTGCTATTTTTATCAGTTATATTCCTAGGGAAATCGTTAAGTTGTAAGATATTTAGTATGTTATTTTTCTCCGGTTGCTTATCTTCTGAGGTTTTGATCTTGATGGCTTTTTTGTTTAATTTTCGAACCAGAGATATCTTGAACTGGATGAATGTACAAAGTTAAAGTCCATGTACCCATTAAAATGTTCCAATTTTCGTTAGTTGAATGAATTTTGATTTCCATTAAAGTTCCTTTTAACTAAAACGGTCTAAGAATTGTAGTTCACTATGGATTTGATGTGATCTGAGAACGTAATTATCTAAGAAAGGTCCTTCACATTGCAACTTTTACATTCCATTCCATTGTCAATGTCAATAGGAGTCTACGCAATATAGACACCAATGATGTCTCCTTGAATGACATTGATAAATTTTTGCTTTCTTTTAGACCTATCGCTAATTGGTCAGATGAATCTGACAATCAGGACTGGGAATTTGTGGAGATTGTAGTATTTTTACAGTTGAAATCACGAGTCGATGCAATCAATGGTTGCACAAGGTCATGGATCATTTGAACCTAGACACTAACGCCGCCGAATACCGTCTCGGTGGTCTAAATGTTAAGCGTTCGCACGCGAGACTGACGGTCCTGGGTTCGAGTTCTGCGTGCGGGATTGTGGATGCGCACTGCTGAGGAGTCCCATACTGGGGTGAAACGGCCATCCGGTGCTTCCAGGTTTTCAGTTGCGGTCTAGCTTAGATCAACTTGTGATTTCAACTGTTTTTTCTACACTTCGATAGCACAAGTGAATCTTATTTCTGTTATATAATACAGTATAGTTTATTGATTAGTTCCACCTGTTTGTAGACTTCGATTTCTGAATATCCAATCTAATATTTCATTTTATTTTCTAATTAATTGTGTTAATTTTTTGTAGAACATGACGGTCGGGAAGCCTTGTCCAAAAATTCTCGTGGCCTTACGCGACATTCGCGAGTTCATTTTCAAAATAATTTTCATCGTGGACAAGGTTTAAGACAGTACTGGGGTCATGATGATAGATTTGAAAATCACGAGAATACTCCAGGACTTCGTGTTCAAAATTCTTTTCACAATGGTAATATTCCACTAATTTTTTAAATTGTCGATATATATATATATATATATATATATATATAGGATTCAGTATTCCTTACTTTTATATCCGGTTTTGATCTCATGAATCATACTGTTCAACCACACTATGTAATATGAAGACGTTTCTTAGTGCAGATAAAGCTTTGCTAGTACTTTCGAGAGTAAAACATTTGTATGATTGGATTTGTGGAACATCATATTTATGGAGCTCATAGTCCACTAACAAGGTGACTATAAACAAAATAATCCAGAAATAGTGGAATACAAAGTGATTGTACCGTCGATACAAATAAATTTTAAAAGGTATCTCGTACGGGTTATTAAAGCATATACATTCACATAACCAGTCCTAAATCAGGAATAGACATCGCCTTTAAAGTTTCACTACCGGTCGGTAACGACTACAGTGTTATCTACAAAGACAAGAAGATCTTAATTCAGCGAAGACAACCAAAAAGCATAACATTTGATCATCTTCCAGTTTTCTCCCATCGATTAGTATGACTTGTTATTAAGTGATTCAATACGTTGATTTCCTGCTTTTCTTAAATTATTCGTATAACCTGACCATAGTTGTTTAATTTAGTTAGAGGGTTATTGTATTCGGTACAATCCCTTGCTATTGTATGGTGTATCTAATATACAAGATTTCCTGTAATCGTACTTAACTATAATACCCTATATTTATTTATAACAGAATATTTTCTGCCCAGCAAATATAATGGACTAACATGGTTTATGTGTAATATTCAATTTATTGAAATTCATTTTTTATGTAGATTATTTTGTTTCTTCTAATAATAACAAACCAGCGATCCGTGTAAAATGATTGGTAATAATATTGATCGATCAGAAAACATCACTTCTTGTTCCTGTATTACATAAAAAAGTAACAAATAATTCATCCGAATACACATCAAGAGCCTGACGTACAGTGCTTCAATCGTCTAAAATTCATTTACTGTTAGACGATAAATAACATATATGGATTAAGTGTGAACATCAAAAGTTCTACTTGATTTTGTCTTCATACTCATAATATCATTGTGAATAAACGATAATGATAATGATAAATAAGCAGTAGCTTTGAGTGACCCAACAAAATGCAGCATATTAATTTATCACTGAAGTATCTTTGATTTTTCCCCGAGAATGTGCGGTACGTTTTATGGGAAACTATGAAGCTACGATTAACATTGATCAAAAGACATACAAATACCTGACGAAGGAACAAAAATAGACAGACTGAAGGACTTTTGTTTAGAATATTAAGAAATTGAATTGAATATGGTATGTTTTGAAAAGAAAAAGAGATTCGAGAGACTTACAATCGACTATTATTCATGAAGATACAAACTAACCAATCATTGCGTCGGTATGAAGAAAAATGATGTTTGGAGCTATCGACAACTTTCCTAACATATCCATACCTACTCTAAATTTATTCATTTCAGTTAATTCTTACTCAATTGAATTGACAAATTATGTTTCATGCTTGAATGGTTTGTCACTGACTACTACGTTTATATTGGTTCCAAAAATTTGAATGAATTTCCTTGTAACACTGAGACGACATGCCTGAACTGAGAGTTCTCTCACTAAACCGAGCACTAGATCTTAATTGCTATGGATCACAAAAAAGAAGAACTATCAGCCCACCATTTGAGTTTGTGATGGTTTATTTAAAAATCAAAGTTACTCTTTATGTCAGAAAATTTTGGTGGAGATAGTATGATTATGATTTACCTGTCAATTAATGGATCAAAGATGAACCGATGTCTACACGATTTAATCCTTGATAACGTATAAAGAGAACGAATATTGGCTCTTATGAGAGCCACTACATTGTGATTATTATTTGACAGTGTTTTATTTATTCCTTAAAAAAATAATGAGTAGTGATTGGTGGCGATAAATTACTTATTGATAAAATGATATGAATTATGTTTCATACCTTAGCAAGTTAAGGGTTCAAACAAATATTAGTTTGTTGCGCGAGCGCCTAACCACTAGACCACTGAGACTAATAGGCCCTGGGTTCGAATCCCATGAGGCAGGGTCGTGGATGCGCACTGCTGAGGAGTCCCGCAGTAGAACGGAATGGCCGTCCAGTGCTTCCAGGTATCAAGCAATTACTAAATTGTTTATGCTAGATCTACCAAAAGATTTGATGAGTAGTAACTTACGAAGTAAACAACACATTTACTCATTTCGGATAACCAAAGTAGATCATACCGGTACCCTGAAACATGTAGACAAATATTTTCGAATGAGCAAAGAGAGATTCAATTTGTAAGTGGGTTATGTAAGAATGAAACTAAGCGACTTATGTAATCCTGTTAAAAGTGATCTAGTGTAGGGTAAAAACAGTACTTTCATGATTATAGTTACTAACGATAATATCCAGTGATAATAAAAGGTAAACCGGTAAGTAGTAGATCTAAGTGCTAACGTATGGAAGTATGTATTTTCAAATTAACGTTCTTTCTCCACGTTAATCGGACATAAAATGGTTAACAATCATGTGTTTTTAAATACATAAGGTGATCTGTATACACGTGGTCATTGTGTTCTATATATTTGACAACTCAAAATCCTTTACATATCTGTAGTGAGTCGCATACATGCAGGTTAGTGTGCTGCTAAAAGTGTTTAGATTTGTAAGATGTAGATTCTTTTGAATTCGCTCAGAAACCTTCCTCTTATAATTACCTTTGATGTGTGCCTGTTTACCGGTTGATAAGCTCAGTATCGATGATCATTACAATCTTGTCGATTGTAAGACTTGTAGTTGGACAAGCAGTTTGGTACACTTATTTCCGTTTATGAATTTGAATAAAGCCAGAACTACAATTGCGATTGAATAATATGAAACTGTTAGGTATGCTGAGGAATATACCAATCATTATCATGTTAAGTCTAATGATGTCCTTGGACCTTAAATGGACATTTCCTATTGGCCATTATTTATTTCACTCGTTAAATATTGTACAGATGTTGTTTTCTATTTTTATGGTACGATGTGGTCTGTTTGGTTGGTATATAATCAGAGTATGTTTGAAATATAACGATTCATAACTCAGAGGCTGTGACTTGCGTTCTGGACTCAACTGGCTGGGCTAGACAGGAAGCGAGACCAATCAGAACCCTAGGCCGTTCACTACGTGTTTTTCCGTGTCACTGAATCGATTGATAAAACGCTGCTCCATTTAACCTGCAGTCCACCCGTTACAACAGAAACCATTTTATTTCGTGGTTTCTGCTCAGCTGCTTACAACCGTATTTGAACTGAAATATATGTATGAATAACTACGTGTAAGGTCATTTTGTATGGATATCGAAAGCGTAGATGCTGTGAGGCAGTTATTATAGTGAATTCGAAAATTGATAAGGTAGATTGTATAGAAATTATATAGAGTTTGGAGAGATTACACAAAATTAAGAATTAGGTGATGGAAAGGATATCATAAAGTGGGTAGAATAACATTTAGCTCAGCGGATATTGAGTAACAAAATACAAACATTAGTGTTGTATCTTTATGGCCCACTAGGATATAACAATTAATAATAAAAGTTACTATTGCGCAACTCACCTTATCAATTTTCGAATTCACTATAATAACTGCCTCACAGCATCTACGCTTTCGATATCCATACAAAATGACCTTACACGTAGTTATTCATACATATATTTCAGTACAAATATGGTTGTAAGCAGCTGAGCAGAAACCACGAAATAAAATGGTTTCATATTATTCTATCTCATTGTAGTTCTGGCTTCATTCTAAAGCAGTTTACTGTCAGGTAACTGCAATAAATCATACTTTCATCATGTGCAGATTCTCAGCATCATCAAAGCAACTTATGTATTTATGTGATGAACTCTCGTTTCGTAAAATCTCCTTTTCTTTCTGGTAATAATGTCCCTAATTAATTGACCCTCCTGTGTAAAAGTAGTTACGATCCATGGTAGTTTATTTGAGTTGTTTTGATTTACGGTATGATGGTGTAAATTCCGGACTGGTTTTCTACAATATGCATAAATTAGTAATACGACCTACACCGGTTAGCCTATTTGAAACACGACTTAAAATTCCCAATATTTAGAGCGACTAGACAAATAGTTCTTTCCTGTTCCCTTCAGTTGTTCATCATCAGCTTGTCAGTAAATGTTATTTATTAAAGCGGAGGGACTTCAGTTGTTAAAACTATCAAGTCCAAGAAATCAATAGTTCTGAGCCCACTGACTTGATGTCGGGTCAGCTGTCGAGATCCCGACAACTGTTCAACAATTGCATTGTGCAGTAAGTTAGTTATGTTTATTATAGGAGTCCATATAATCACGGACCATCTGAGGTGGATAGTTTCGAATGTTTGAAGAGATTACCACTAACGATTAAGTCATCTTTTAACATTTTTTCCCAGGACTTTTGCCTGTGTTTGCTTGATTCGCCTACTTATATCTTCTCGGGTAGATTCTTTAGAGAACTTATGTTCATGTGAAGGTATGGTAGATAATCTGTTGATGTAATAAATGCAATCCATAAGGATAATATTAGCGCCTTTTTTGGACGAAGCAATGTTAAATCTTTGTTTTCAAAAATCATGTAGCCGAGATTTGATAGAAGTTACTTTCTAGCAGAATAGCATGATATTTTTATTTCGTTGGTTCTCGTCAGCTGCTTACAACCTGTGATATTTAAAATCATGATGACATAATGGGTTTAAATTACTTACATGAGAGGGTTTGGTTGGAAGTTATATTGAAGACATATTAGTATAGTGTAGCAAGGGTGTAAATAAATTTAATAGACTGAATATTGTAAATATATACCTTATGTAGAAATAAAAATGAATTCATGCTGTTCTGCTAGAATGCTTGTTCTTGCTCTTTTCAAAATGATAAAGGAAACTATGTGTATGAGAAGTTACCTTGTTGGTTAACTCCCTATTCACATCGTAGGAGATGCAGTTAGTAAC